AGTTGTTTTGTATTTATCTTCTTCATTTACCGAAATTTGATAATATTTGAATTTTAAATCGAATTTAGAAAATATTAGGGCATTATGTACTCTTTTAATTAAATCACTTTTATTTGGTAATGGGTACCTAATCCATTTTAATACTTTATTTAAAAGTTTATAGTTTATTACCAATCTTGGAGCCCCGCTCTCTATTTCAGAGGCTTTCATTACATAAAACCCTGTACAACTCCAGGGTAAATTCGATGGTCTAATTAAGTCTTTATCTAGATATTCTTGGATTTTTTTTTACAATATTCTAAATATTGATGATTCATTTGTATTGGTCTAGCTCTTGTAGGTATTTTCTTTTTATCAAAATTATCTATATAAGGTAATTCTATAGTGTATTTTTTCTTATGCCAAAAAGCAGTAGGATTTGTTTCACAAATTTCTTTTTCTACTTTTTCTTCATATGTTTTTATAATTTTTTTGAATATTTTGGTTATTAAGTTGTTCTTCTATTATTTTAAATCTTATTCCTTTATTTAACATGTTTATCTGTTTCTTTTTTATGTCTACTTGAGTTATTGATGATTCTTTTAATAAGTTTAATTCTCTAGTTTTTGGTGGTTTTATAAACTCAAAACAAACTTCTTTTCCTAGAACATCAATTTTTAAGCCTAATTCTGTTACTTGGAAAGGATATAATAAAGTTAAGAACGGGGTTCCTAATATTATTGGAATATTCATATTTTTTATTAATACGAAGGAAGTATTATAACAAACCTTACTTTTACATATTTTTACATTTGACAATTTATATTGTATATGTTTTTTTGATCCATTAGCGCTTGTTACCTTTTCTAAAGTTTTTTCATAATATTGTGTAGGAATTATTCCTTCTTGTATACAATTTAAATCAGCTTCAAAATCAACTAAAGCTATTGTTTTGAATTTTTCTTCTTTTATAATTAGGGTAATTTCTACATGCCACTTATGAGTAGTCATTAAGTTTAATAAACTAATACAACTTTCACCATTTAAATCCTCATTTTTACTAGTTCCTTCTTCATTTTTCTCTTGATTTCTTATAATTTCTTTCCCTTTAAATTCTAATAATCTATATTCTAAAGATACATCATTTTCTTTTAATATTTGTATTTCTTGTTTAAGGATTTTAATTTCTTCTTGTAAGTCTTTTATTGTTATTTGTTGACTAGGACTTTTAAACCTATTATAAATTTCTTTCATACTTATTGGGTTTCATTTTTCTGTAATTCTTCACTATGTATTATTAGATTACTTAATTGTTGTAAAAATTAAGTTTTCAAAGGGGAATATTTTAATTTATCTATTATGGTAATTAAAGTAGAAGTTTGGTCTTTTGTTAACATATTTATATTTTTACAATCATTACATGTACATAATTCTGGTCCTAAACAATAATCTTTTTCTAAGTTTTGTTTTTCTTCTTCACTAGAGGATTCTTGCTCAATCTGTTCTATTTCTAGTTCACTATCTTCTACAGAACTACTGTATTCTTCTTCTTCAAAGTTAATTAAATTATTTAATAAACTTTTTCTTAATTTTTCATCTTCTATTTGATTTATTTTTTATATAACTTTACAATTATTAGCATAATGTCCTGGTTTACCATATTTACAACATATATTATTTTTTCTCTTAGGTTTATTATATTTGGGTTTTCTTGTCATTTTGATTTTATTTTCTATATTTTTATTTTCAGTTTTTTCTTGAAATTTCTTATAAGGTTTTTTTATAGGTTTTTCTATATATTTTCTCTTGTTTCCTAATCACTTTCTTTTTTCTCGCACTCGGTGCTCTAATAGGTTTCATCCCATATTTTTGACAAAATGATCCTAATTCTCTCTTATTTATCATACTCTCTTTTCTTAATTTATTTTGTAGTTTAAAATCAGTACAGACTTGTATTCCTATTTCTACAACTATATTATGTATTTGTCCATAAGTTAGTATATCATATGCTATAGGTTTTCCATAATGTCTTTCTAAATTTATTTTTACTTTTTCGAAAATAATTTAGGTAATCCGACTAAAAACCTTTCCTTCCAATATTCAACAAATCCGTCCTCTCTTAAGGTTACTTTTGATAAGAAATTATCTTTATACCATCTATAATCTATCATTGTTGGGAAATATAAGCTTGCTAATTGGCTTGGTGATCTTTCTTTAAATATATTGGGATCTCCTACAAAATTTTGTATTATTGAGTAGATTAATGTAGATACTGCATCTTTTTTATTTGTGTCTATTTTTATACTGTTTAAAATTTCTAATTTATCTTGTTCTGTACAAAAATTATCCCACGAGCCTTTCAGTTGACCAGTAAATCCTTGTATTATAGCTATAGCAGCCGATTTATCACTACAGCCTTTAGTTTTATGAGCGGTAGCCGCTATTGTCATTTGACAAGTTAAATCTAATATTGCTTGTTCACTTAATCCATTTAAATTCCATTCGGTTATTATCATTTTCTGAAAAGGAATTTTGAACTAATTCTCCTCTTTCCTCAAACTGCACATCAGCAGTTGTAGGTCTAGAATAGTAATTTCTAAGTTTTGGATAGGTTCTCATCTTTATTATTTTTATCGTATTTATAGAGGTATTACCTATCTGTTCTATTTTCTTTTTTAGTTCTTCTAATTGTATGTTTGTATTACTTTTTAGTCTTGATGAATCTAATTCTTTCTGTGGTACATTAAACAATTTATATATTGACTTCATAGGTTCTTTTGAACTACTTGGTATATCTTTTAGAGGTTTATTTTCTATTCTAGTTAGTTGTTTTGACATTACTTCTAAGACTATATTGGAATAATTAAGCTGAGAATGTAAACTTTTTATATCTTTTATTTGTACGAATTTTTCTTCACTTTTAACATCTTTATATGGGTTTGCCTCTATTTCTAAATCTTTTGTAAATTTTATTATAATTCCTTGTTGCGAAGGATATTCAACTATTATTAGCTCATTATTAATAGTCTTCCACGTATTTGATATTTTTTCTAAAGGATATATATGTTTTTCTTGATTATAATTAAAAAACCAATCAAAGAAATATAAATTTATTTCATGTTGTTCTAAATAATCATAAAAAATTTTCCTAAATTTTTCTATTTGTTGTTTTGTAAAAGTTTTAAAATATCACTCTCTATTTTCTTTATTATATTCTACCTCAAAATCTTATCTATCCAATTTTTATCTATTTTAAATATTACTTCTCTTTCAATCATATTTAATATTTGTGATGTTATTGGGGAGTATTGAGGAGATTCTGATCCCCTTGACTCTTCATATACGGGTTTTGTAACCCTAGGTGTAATATTATTTAATCCTCTCAAATCTAAATTTATAATAGATCCATCTATCGAATTTACTGGAAGATTGTCCTTTATAAATCATTTGTAGTTCTCTAATCTTTAAAGATGATCTATTCATTCTAAGTTTTATGTCCGTTCCTTCTTGGATTATTTGTCTAATATGAGTATTATAAATTTTTGGTTCCTCTATCATATTTTCTAACTTCCATTCCTCATGTATTTTACTTATTACTTCTTCATGACTTAATCTTTTTGGAATTTGTACTTGACGAATTTCTAAGATTAGCTTATGCTAATATAGTTTCATCATTTGGTGAAGATCTTAAAGATTTATAATTATAATCTATTCTGGTTACTTTGTAATAAATCCTATAAATTATTTGTATCGGACTGGATTCTTCATCTACTATTTCTTCGAGAATTTGTATATATAATTTTATAGCATTACTTGTTTTATCATTTTTAATATTCATAGAAAAATTTGGATAATAATTAAAGAAAGCAGGTCCATCTTGTAAATTACTTTCTAATATTGCAATTATTGAATCATTAAATTTTCTAAGTCTTATATCTCTTAATAACATTAATATTTGACTATTTATTCCTATTCGATAATTTGATTTTGGTGCCACCTGTATTAATCCTAAATGAATAAAATTATATCTATTTTTTATATGTTAGATCTAAAATTGATTGTTCTAAAACATTTATAATCTTATTATTTTTTGTTCTCGGATAGCTATATTCTGCTATATATATTTCATCTTGATTTGACGTCCAAAATTTATGTTGTTTATAAACCTCACATTTTCTTATTATAGGTATTGACCAATTATGTAAAGAGTTTTCAATTTTAACTATTTGTAATTCTTTATTTTTATTATCTGAAGAAGACGAAGCTTCTTGTTGCGACATTTTAACTACTATTTATTTATCTTTGTTTTTTAATCTTAAATCACTTAGAGTTCTAAGGAGATTTGGCATGCTTACTCTTTCTCTGGTTTCCATGCTACGGAATCACCTCTTTGTCTTCTCGGCTTTTCTGGCTAACCAACTGTCTCACTACACCTCCTGGGTTTTACTGCCAGGACCACCAAACCTAAAGGCTGATCAACGTATAAGCACCTCTCAGTACTACACGATTCCTTCAAAGATTTAAGAGGTCTAAAGACCCTTTAAACTCAAAGATTTAAGGTTAAGATATAAATTTAAATAAGTAACAAAGAGACTTAATTCCTTCAGTTTTTCTTCTAAATATTTGATATTAGTTTTGTATCTTACTATACTCATAGCATAATTAACTGAATTTTCTCTAAATAGTCTATTTTTAGATATATGTTTTGTCAATCTTCTTTTTAGTTTTCTAATTTATTTTGTAAGTTCTATTATTAAGTTTGGATTAAAGCTAATACTCGTACCGGGAGGGGTGGAGTGGTCTAACTACAAATCCCAACTTAAGAATTGCTTCATCTATTTGTATAAATTCGTTGTGGTTATTCGTTATTGAACCCATTTTCTTATAATTCTTTAAGTGGAGATGTAATTAAAAATAATAATTTAAAACACAGTTAAACTTTCTTAAAGATCATATGAACTTTTCTTCAGTGGGAACAAAATATACCTGAAACCACTCTGGTTCGAATCAGGTGCAGCCTCTTATGGCGACGAAATCGCAGTTCTGGATACCACCACCCAGCCGGTACGAACCGAAACGCCAGACGCGTCGTCGGAGCCACAACTGGCGATTCTCGCGATATCGAAGTAGCGAAACGCCACAGTGGTCGGAAACGGGACCCACGGCGGAGGAATAGTATAGTCTTCAAGTTTGGTCAGCGGCGAAGGCTCAACGCCGGTCAAAATCGAAGCGGATCCACGAAGGTCATAAAGGAAACCGTATAGATGCTGAAAAAGGCGCTCTTGATACCGAATTTGGAAGCGACAGAAGGTGCCCAGAAGGGAGCGAAGTCGTAGAAGAGCCAATGGGCTTTGGAAGACTCGAGAAAACGGTGAAGGGTTCTTCCAAAGCATCGTAGGCTTTCTTGAGGTACTGAACGATGTCGTAGGGGACGTCAGTGGTGGCTCTGCGTTTTGTGTAAGGTTTTGGACTGTGGGCAGTGGAAGGTTGACGAATTTGATGAGTGGAGCCAAGTTTTGTGAGAGTTTTGGGAGACGGTGTATGTTTCGTGGGGTGGATACGAAGCTCACATGGTGACCCTTTCCAGCAATGAGCTTGGCTAGCTAGAGGTTTGGGATCATGTGTCCAAATGCTAACCATGGAAACATCACTATGTGCAACTTTTCTTCCTTCTTTGACTCCATGATCATGAATGGAACCACTTACCTCCACAAGCAATGTTTTTTGGTTAAAAATAAATTTACACTCCTTCAACCAAAAACTGTTTTTGTTTTTGAAAAACGCCCTCCCACTTCTTCTTTTATAAAATTTTAAATTTTTATATTTATTATTATAATGTTAAATAGGAATTGTAGGATGGAAACATGTAAAATTTAAGAGTGTCAATATATCAATGTTTTTTTGAGGGTGATATTTCGCCAACCCATACGTCTAAAATAATAAAAAAATTATATAATATTAAATAATACTATTATATTAGTGAAATAAGAGATAAAGTTTGTAAAAAGATATTTCTCCTTTTTAATTCCTGCTGCTGGAGACATATTTAAATAATAAATAATTCACAATCTTTTAAATATGTAGTGGTACGAGAGTAATAAATAAATAAAATATAAAAAGATATATTTAATCGCTCATTAAATGCAGGATCTTTTGGAAACTGGTCATTTATGAAGTTTTTTAATTTTATATAATTTATAATTTTGATATTTTAAATTTTATAATTATTTATTTACATTTATAATTTTTTTTCTCTTTACTTATTATTTATTAATAATATATTAATTAATATAAAATCAATAATCACTGATATTAGTCTCCTGCTATCGTGCTTATTTATGTTAAGAATAACAAAAAAAAAAAATAGTCAAATACAAAGTAACTCAAAATATAATCATGATTCTTAACGGATAACAACCTAAAAATATATATAAAAAAAAAGTAATAATAACTCTTATTTTCTACCGCAAGTTTTTATTTTTTTCCTCTTTCAGATTGATCTTTATATAAAAAAAATATACCTTTTTAATCATCGTAATTATTTTATAAATTCGTGTTTAATTTTTATATTTCTAAACTAATTTCTTTGATTCTCTAATTATCTTTTATAAGGTAGGATTTAGTTCTTTCCTATGCTTAAATTAAACACTTCAATATAATTTTTAGGAATGTCCCACATTAGATGCGGATTTGATGAAATTCATCCTCTACTCCATTAAAAAATTCTTAGATGGGATTAGATCATATTTTTTTATCTAATTTGATTAGGTATTTTTTAAAATATATTTTTAATCATCATAGTTAGTTTATAAATTTGTGTTTAGTTCTTATATTTCTAAATTAATAATTTCTTTGATTCTCTATTTTTTATAATATATGGTTTTAGTTCTCTTATATGCTTAAATTAAACACTTAATATGATTTTTTTTCTTGGAATGTTAATGGTTCAGAGTCGGATTTGACAAAATTTATCGTCGAATCTATTAAAAAAATCATAGATAGGATTAGATGAGATTTTTGTATTATTTTTTATTTTATCCCATTTCCTTTGGATCCAATTTGATTAATTGGGAAACGATTTTTTTAAAATATTTTGATTACAAAATTGATTTTTTCTTTAGAATTTTGAATATTTTTTAAATTTACATAGACTAAAAGAATGAAAAATAATAAAAATAAAGATTAAAAATAATTTTTAAATAAAGAGATTAAGAGATAAAATTTATTTCATTATAAAAATAAATTGATAACTTATCTTATTTTATTTAACATATTATTTATTACTTTTTCTTTTTTTCCTCTATTGTTTTCTTCTTTCACTCAAAATAAGCTGATATAGTAGAGACTGGGAGCTAACATATGTATGAAAGGTGAGAGAAAATTGTAGATGAACACACAAGTTGTAAATAAAGAAAAATGAGACGTAAAAATGGTAAAGGATGTGAACATGTCATAATATTGATGTGACCATGTATGTCTTCATGTTCTTTGCTGCAAGAACAATAACGATGTATTTACACTCTTGCCTTATTATACAAATAAGAAAAATGATAGTGTAATAACAACTATTTATTTTTACATAATTTTTTTATAATATTTTTTACTATTAAATAGGGTTATTAAGTAGTTATATCTAAAAAATAACTTTAAAACTATCATTTTCCTGGATAACACCGACCTTAAAAAAAAAGCATTAAAATTCACCGTTACTTTATTGAAACAAAAGAGCTGAAGATAGATTTGAAAAAAGGAGCAATCATATTGTTTTGTCAGCTGATAAAGCCCCCTTCTTTTTCTCTGGTGCTGGCCATGTGCGTTGTCACATATACTTTTTACTGTTTAAAAGAAAACTTCGTATCCAAGTTTTCTTTATGTATAGAAATTTTTTTTTGTATGTTTGAAGGGGAGGATTGATTTCTACGAAAAATTTTTCCTTCCATATCATATGTTTCTTATTTTTCTTTTTCTATTGTCTAAATTTCAAGCAACGAGACTCTACTCATGCAGGATTTAGTAAAACGAGAAAGAGCTTGAATTAAGTGGGAAAACTTCGGCAGAAATACTATACCAGGTAAGGGGAAGTTTAATTCATTCAATATATAAAATTGAATTGTTGGGTACTCTGTGAATAAGGAATAGGAGTAGAGATATGAATTATTTGAATGTCTGATTTTGAAGAGTTTCTGATTTTGATGAATTGTTCACCGTTTGAAAGTTTTTGAAATTCTTGAAATTAAGAATGAATTATATAATAAAATTGTTGTTTTTAACTTAAATTCAACATGTTTATGGTTTAATTTTGATTTGGAACTAATTTGGGTGATTGAAACTGAAAAATTTGAAACTTGGATTTTGAAAATGGTGTACTTGGAGGTGATTACTATTCATATTTTGCAAAGTTTTAAATATTGATTAAATTCTTGAAATTAAGGATGAATTATATGGTAAAATTGTTGTTTTCAACTTAAATTAGATATAATTCATGTTTAATTTCGATTTGGGACTAGTTTGATTGTCTAAAAGCTGAGTAATTTGAAATCTGCCAAAATCTACAAATTTTGACACTCATTCTTGGGCGAAGGAAGAAGAAAAGGATATGGTGGGGATTTTTTTAAAAGATCAAGGGTAAAATAGTCATTTTACATTCTAGGGACATAAATGTAATTTTTGAAAATGTTCAAGGGCAAAATAGTCATTTTACATCCTAGAGACATAAATGAAATTTTTGAAATTGTTCAAGGGTAAAATAGTCATTTTTGAGACATAGAAGGAATTTTTGAAAATGTCCAAGGGCAAAATAGTCATTTTCGGGACATGGAAGGAATTTTCAAAAATGACCAAGGGTAAAATAGTCATTTAGGGACATACATGGAGTTTTAAGAAAAGATTAAGGGCAAAATAGTAATTTAATGATTTCGAAAATGATTTCAAAAATAGTTTCGAAAATAGTTTCGGAAATGATTTCAGAAATGATTTTAGGAAAATATATATATAAAGAGAGAGAGTGAATGAAAGTAGTATGTTGTGACGTGTGTGGGTCAGACTGAGCCTGAGGGCTGATGCCCAGAATCAGTCCTGAGATGTTATATATTGGCTAGACTGAGCCAGAGGGTTGGTGCCAGAATCAGTCAAATCCTATTTTTATTGACCCGAATGAGCCGTGAGGACAGGTGGTCCAGAATCCGGCAAATGTGAATAATTTTTGTTTTGTTTGAATGGTACCCGGGGTGGTACAAAGTACATTAGTGTAATAACTATGTTGGAGGATTCTGAATGAGGTCCCAAACTTCACTGATTGGTTGGGTCAGGTAGACTACGAGATCAGGTGATGAGAAGTCGATGGGGGGATGACTGGTGGCGCGCTCGAAGGGGTACTCCAGTATGATTGATGAAGGGCGCCAGTAATCCTACTCTGTGTGGAGGGTGGTCAGAATGATACTGCGGGTACCGATCACATTGTGCCCACAGATGATAGCCTCTGAGTTCAGGCATAGTTAGGGTATACTTCCGGAAGGTGTCTTAGTGTGTTGATAATTTCGTAATTGATCATAATATATAATTATTACTTCTATATCTGTTTTATTATATCGAATGATTTAATACTTACCCCTATTTTTCCATGTGGATGGGACTGTGATGATCACTTTTATGTGGGAGTAGATCAGGAGTTGAGAGATGGATATGTGACTACTGGATAGCAGGGATAGTTCAGTGGGATAGCTTCGAGGGAGCTACTTTTACATGTATAATATATAATGTTACTATATTTTGAGGTTCCGTTAGTGAATCGAAATTTCAATCTATGTTACAATTACAGTAATATAATGTAAAATAGATGTCGTTATTTACTTGTTTACTACTTTGCGAAGACATCATTATAGTAGCGATTTCTAGGGTCGTTACAATAGTGGTATCAGAGCGGTAGTATCCTTGTAAATCTGTGGGGATGGGTAGTGAACCTATGATAAGTTTGTTGTTATTATACTCTGATATGTGAGTGTGTGTGAATGTTTGCTCTGTATTGATGGTTGCGTTTGATATAGGATGGCACTACGACCTCCTACTCCTACTCCTACTCCACCGAGTGTAAATGCCCTAGCCAGGGCAATGGAAATGTTGGCAGCTGCCATGCAGCAGCAAGCTACCTACCCGCAATGGAGGCCAACTATGGCATCATCCTCTGCTGGATTCCACCAATTAGAGCAGATGGGGCTGACTGAGTTCATGAGGCATAATCTGCCTCGTTTTGGAGGAGATTTGGGTCCAGATGCAGCAGAGAAGTGGCTGCGTGAAGTGGAGAAGATTTTTGATGCTACCTTATGCCCGGAAGATAGGAAATTGACACTCAGGAAATACTTACTAGTGGATGAGGCTGAGTTTTGGTGGTCAGGGA